CACACAAACATATAGATACATACATACATAAACATATATATACACACGCACACATAAATACATACATACATACATATATACATTTCTACAGCTCAATTTCTATTGTTCAATTCCATTTATTATTTTGGATTAGTCAAGTATACTATGTGAACAAAGTCTTAATCAAGGTATTTCCCAGTCCCATGCATGTATTTATACAATACACACACATACACTACTATGTATCAACTGCATGTGTAAATATATTTGGCTGATTTTGCATCCTGTCTCTCATCAGTGAGGCATCTTTTCATCTGCAGCCACTCTACCAGTCTTTACATGATGCTCCCCCTGTCCAACATCTCACTACGATCGCTCTTCCTGTCCAACACATTCTCATTTTACATTTAAGGACAACTTTCTTTTCTTTTCGCACAAGTAGAGTGTGGCTTGTTCTTTTGAGCAGTCGTGTTTGTAGTTTGTAATATTTCAGAAACTGATTGTCTGTGCAGAGCTGCACAGTGTAATGAAATCTAATGAAGCACTCAGTGACTGGATGTGATTGGTTTTAGTTCCAGTTGGACTAAACAAACAGCACAGTTAACAGTGTGCATGCTGATTGAAGTAGTGTTGTAGTTATTTTGAATTCAGTTTAGTGAGTTGGAAAATTGAATACCAGCATCATTTTACAACATGTATAGCTCTAAAATGATGTTAAAATAATTTCCAATTGCTCTTATCTTTAAAGTTAAATCCAGGAAGTGTTGAGTTTTGGTCAGAAACTATAATGATGACAAATTACATGTTTTCATTGTGTAAAAAGGTCAAACATTTGTATAAAAGAGGTGTATCCAGTTGTGTATCCAGAAACTATACATGGAAAGGGAACTGAGTGTGTGCTTTCTTTATTTTGAATATCACACCACGACTAATACGTCGTATGATCTTTCATCTTGGGAACCAGATGCAAAAGAATCACATACTGTTTATTTTTCATCTAATAGTGTTAAAAATATTTTTGCCAAATGTTACAACTATTGTTTTAGTGAAAGATCTTATTTTTTTTTTTAAAGGAAAGACAAATGCCTGGCTTGTTGCCCCGGCCCCCTCCTCTGCGTCTCCTATCTCTATGTCCCTTCAGTACCATCACAGCCACAGGAAGGCCCTGGCAGCCCGAAACACTGATACTATCTCTGCGCTCCTCATCTCCGTCCTCCGCTGTGTTGAAATCTTGCCCATCCCACAAAGGGAAACCGCTGGTGCACAACGGTCCATGGCACGACGTCCGTTTCTGTGGGTAGACTTATGGTAAATAATGTGGCAGGTGCATGCCATGTTCACTGATGCAGGATGAGCACACTGGAGTTATATCACACCAGTTTCTGTGAGAATTATGTGTTGTTTAAAGGTGCAGTGCTCTGTAATTAAAGCTTGTAAAGGCTATTTTAGGAATCACGTGTTTAAATAAAGGATATTTGAATATATTTTGTTGACGTGTCTATGTTATATTCATGTTAAATGTGTAGGATTGGCAGATATAAAAGAGGTTTCATCAAAGCTCAAGTAATTATTTGTTTATTTAAAGAAAACATGTGACAAAAGTATTGCTTTAACGATGCATTACAATAAAAGTCATAAAACACGTTCGACAACCGGCAAGATTACACGTTATTTAAAACTGCGACAACATTATTTCAAGTAATCCCACGCTCATTTAGTGACAAAAGAAGTAATATACAGAGAGCGACACTTAGATTTCATTGAATCCCCTTCAAACCACAGTTGGTTGTGTAACCTCGTTGGGCAACAAACCTTACAATCATATCTGACAATGACAAGAAGTGTCGATGAGTCGGCAATGTTTGTTCAATCAAAAAACAAATCTGTACAATGCACAAAATGGTCTTCTTCTGAGGATTATGCATGTATGTGAAGATGTTGTTTTTACCTTCATGACTTTTTTGTTTCTGGACAGTATTAAGAATTTCTGGAGCTGTGGTACAACTTCCCCCATCTCACAGAGCAATTTTACTAATCTTGATATGCAGAGTCTCGCTTAAGGTTTCTGTGCACTCTCCAGTCACTCACAGTTTAGTATATACAATTATGTCTACATTCAAACCCTCCACACGTCTTCCTACTTTATATTCATGTGCCTAATTCAATTATTCAAAAGGTCTAGTGAGCCATTATTTCAGAAACACTGAGGTTGTGACGAACGTCCCACACACACCAAAAACGAATACTCAAATTTTAAATTATTGATTTAGTTAAATGATACTGCATATTGTCTGTTATTTACCATCTTGAAACGTTGTTTTAAAGCCTAATCCACACTGAATTGACTATTAGCAGAATTGACTAGCAACCTGTCAAGCTTCAGATTTTTCCACATGTTGAAGGCGTGCATATCGGGTCGTAGTGATATACATCTTAAGGGTCAGCTGGAAACATTGAAAAGTCAGCTGCAGACAGATGTAGCAATGGCTTCCCATGGCAAGTTGCAACTGATCAGATCAAATCTGCCAGCGACAGTCGTTTCAGCCAACTAAAGACCTCGCTTGTCTGCTAAAAACGAGACGCTGCTTTTAAAGTTGAAATGAAAACCCATTGTTTTTTTTTATTAACTACAGTAATTTTATGTGTGTATTAAATATGTCATCTTCTCAATGTAAATTGAATATGAAGCCTACTGTAAAAGCACAGAGAGCCCAACAAGAAAAGCAACCAATAGCCACAGTTTACAGGGCTTTTATGTAAATGTGCCATAAACCCCAGAAAGAAAAAGACGTGACCTCAGTGTCCTCAATGGCCGTTATAGCCCTGCCAGTGTGTTACGCTTTCTGTCCTCACAATTTTACAATACAAAACTACGACTGAGCCCTTTGACACCTGGCATTACTTCCTCACTTCTTTAGTTGAAAAATCAACAGGGAGGCATTTTTGAGGCCTACAGACACTTATCAGGAATCTAACACCTACAATCAGATACAAATGCGGCTCTAGATGCTGGACGCCCCTGCTGCTCCCTCATCGGCCCCCTGCAGGTGCCGCTGTGACAGGATGTGTTTGAGAGAGTCTAGCTCCTGTGTCAGCTGCCCTATCCTCATCTGCAGCTTCTGGTTTTCCTCCTGCAGCAGCAGGGCCCTCTGCTGGGTCAGCAGGATCCTCCTGCGGGCCTTGTCCCGGCTCTTCCTCACAGCGACGTTGTTCCTCTCGCGCCGCTGCCGGTACTCTGCGCTGTCCTTGCTGATGCTCCTCTTGTTTACCGGGGCCCGCAGAGTCGGCAGGAGGAAGGAGGAGAAGTCCTGGAGGTCAGAAACACAAGCATGCTTATGTTGAGGGGAGGCGAGATGAGAGTGGTGTTTGATGATTTTCCCCACTTAGAAAATGTGTGGGACTTACTCATTTATCTATAATCCACACATGTAAAATCTATCTCACACACATTAACACACACATACCTGCTGAGTGTTGGCGTGGCTCTGGTGGTGGACAGTGCTCCCGGCGCTCGAGTTGTTGCTGAGACAGGAAGAAGAAGTGTACGGCAGGTAGGACAGTCCCATCATGTCATCACTGCCCCCTCTCACCAGGCCCTGAGACTGGTTGTACTGTATCATGTCCATCTGAGCCAGCTGACCTGTTGGGGTGGTATGGTTCAGGGTGTGGGCCTGACCCGAGTATGAGCTGGCCCACTCCTGGATGACTGAGGACACTCTGGAATCAGACATCTGGAGGGGGTCGGAAGCAGAAAAAGATGAGCTTTTTCTCTTCTTTTAAGTTTAAATTTTTCTTTTCCCTTTTTAAATGGAAGCAAAGAACCACATGCACAATATACAAACAAAGACGACTCTGCCAGCTATAAAAGTAATACACAGTTAAGATAAGTAAACTAAGAACTCAAATAACTTAAAGGTTGATCTATTAAACAACCCAACAACACATATAATGTGGTCTAATTAGCTCCAATTTGTCCAACTCCAACAATAAAGGCTGCACATGATATTGTCCTGGTAATTATAATCAAAAATAATAACCTAATTTAACTCCTGAGAGGCCTTAATGTGGTGCATATTGTGTACTTTTACTTTTACTTTTGAAACTTTAAGTACAACAATGCGGGACTCGTAATGGAGTATTGTTAATGAAAATAATAATAAATGAGACGTTATAAACGGCCGATGCAACATTGGGGCAAATAACAATTTACAAGTAAAGAATACAGTTTTTAAAAGATAGCTTATTAGAGATTAAACAATTAGTCGATTTATTGATAAGTTGATTGCCATAAAGTGAATCAACATTTTTCATTATCAATTAATCATTTGATTAATGTCTTAAGGTAAATAAGAAAAAGAAAAAAGAAAACTTTGTTTCCAGCTTCACAAATGTGGATATTTGCTGGTTTTACTTCTCTTGGGAGCAAACTTTGGGTCTTTTTGTTGTTGTTGTTGTTGTTGGTTAGACAAAATAAGCTCAAACAACTGCACTTGGGTTGTGATGTGCATTTTTCATTACTTTCTGACAGTTTACAGACCAAAGAATTTTTTGATTTAATTGAGAAAATAATCAGCAGATGAATTAACTACGAAGGAAATAGTTTGATGAAGCCCAAAATTGACAGAAAACATACTTTGTACAGGAGAGGACAGAAATGAACTGCCGCCACACACTAATAAAGTTAGGATGGGACTTACCATGACTTAGCTCTTCACAACCTCTCTGAATATGCTTCAGGTTCCTCTGACAGTTTAACTGAAAATGGTCTGAAAGGAGGAGACAGACAGGAGTTTGATACCTGTCTGATCTCACATTACTTCTTCCTCTCTCTCTCTTTCTCTCTATCTCTCTCTCTCTCTCTCTCTCTCTCACACACACGCACACAAACACACAGACACACACCCACGCACACGCACACACAGAAATGACAGGAAAGAAAGCACACCGACAGAAAGCGAAGCAGAGTGATTGTCTTGACTCCCATCATATTTATAGATTATGTATCTTCATGACTGATAATTATTGACAGTTTTTAGTATTTTTTAAACTAATTATGGGACAAGGATATTCAATAACTTTTAGTAGCAGGTCATATCTAATAATGAACTCATTGATTAATTCATAGTTTTCCGTTGTACCCCGCTTTTGTTGCCACTCACTTGCTACATTTTAACACCGTAACAGTGGACTACAGTCTGTGCACTAATCTTGTATCACTGCATCGTGCAGAAAGCAAACCAAGTGCTGTGTGACTAGTGTCCCTCTGCGGCCTCCATAGTCTACATTGAAACAAAATGGCTACCCCTGTTGACAACGTGAGTGGAGCTTAGCTAGCTGCGAGCTAATAAAACATTTATTTTATCGTTCTACAATGCATAATAATACTGTAGACAATTATGACAATGTAACATGTACTCTGAGACTATCTGTTACACCTGAGATTGATAAAAGCGAGTGATGATGGTTGTTTTGTTTTAATACCTTCAGCTAGCCACAAGCTAACTTATGCTTTAGTAGCATTTCTACAACGTTCTCCACGTTTTACTGTAGTTAAATGTTTGCATTGTGTTTCTGACTTGTTTCCTTTCTGACAGGATTTAATTGAAAGCGATTTGCCTGCAGCTGTACAGCTGCTGAGAAATCTCACAGAACAGGTACGAATTGCGCGTCCGTAATATTACTGTAATAATAATGTTTATTGGTAGAGATATTGTGAGTCCTTTTGAAATTATACAAACACATGCATTAGCACACAGTTAGATCTCATTGAGGCGTATTAATGCATAATAGATCTGATCATAATGATCCTGTTGTTTTATTGTGTTTTCTTTTTGTCTGACCTGGTGTGTCTCTTTCATCAGGATGATTTGAACAGTCACTTTTATCACAGAAAGCTTGCTTATATATATATATATATATATATATATATATTAGTATCTACATTCACAGCTGAACCACTGACTTCTCTCTTCAGGTGACCTCAGTTACAAGTCATGTCCGTGAGCTAATAAGAAAAGTCAAAGATGGAGCTTTTAAGACATCAGAGGTGAGTGGAGACTGTTATTAAATACTTATACAGTGGGGAAAAAAAGTATTTAGTCAGCCACCAATTGTGCAAGTTCTCCCACTTAAAAAGATGAGAGATGCCTGTAATTTTCATCATAGGTACACTTCAACTATGAGAGACAGAATGAGAAAAAAACAAATCGAGAAAATCACATTGTTTGATTTTTAAAGAATTTATTTGCAAATTATGGTGGAAAATAAGTATTTGGTCAATAACAGAAGTTCATCTCAATACTTTGTTATGTACCCTTTGTTGGCAATGACAGAGGTCAAACGTTTTCTGTAAGTCTTCACAAGCTTTTCACACACTGTTGCTGGTATTTTGGCCCATTCCTCCATGCAGATCTCCTCTAGAGCAGTGATGTTTTGGGGCTGTCGCTGGGCAACACGGACTTTCAACTCCCTCCACAGATTTTCTATGGGGTTGAGATCTGGAGACTGGCTAGGCCACTCCAGGACCTTGAAATGCTTCTTACGAAGCCACTCCTTCGTTGCCCGGGCGGTGTGTTTGGGATCATTGTCATGCTGAAAGACCCAGCCACGTTTCATCTTCAATGCCCTTGCTGATGGAAGGAGGTTTCCACTCAAAATCTCACGATACATGGCCCCATTCATTCTTTCCTTTACACGGATCAGTCATCCTGGTCCCCTTGCAGAAAAACAGCCCCAAAGCATGATGTTTCCACCCCAATGCTTCACAGTAGGTATGGTGTTCTTTGGATGCAACTCGGCATTATTTCTCCTCCAAACACGACGAGTTGAGTTTTTACCAAAAAGTTCTATTTTGGTTTCATCTGACCATATGACATTCTCCCAATCCTCTTCTGGATCATCCAAATGCTCTCTAGCAAACTTCAGACGGGCCTGGACATGTACTGGCTTAAGCAGGGGGACACGTCTGGCACTGCAGGATTTGAGTCCCTGGCGGCGTAGTGTGTTACTGATGGTAGCCTTTGTTACTTTGGTCCCAGCTCTCTGCAGGTCATTCACTAGCTCCCCCCGTGTGGTTCTGGGATTTTTGTTCACCGTTCTTGTGATCATTTTGACCCCACTGGGTGAGATCTTGCGTGGAGCCCCAGATCGAGGGAGACTATCAGTGGTCTTGTATGTCTTCCATTTTCTAATAATTGCTCCCACAGTTGATTTCTTCACACCAAGCTGCTTACCTATTGCAGATTCAGTCTTCCCAGCCTGGTGCAGGTCTACAATTTTGTTTCTGGTGTCCTTTGACAGTTCTTTGGTCTTGGCCATAGTGGAGTTTGGAGTGTGACTGTTTGAGGTTGTGGACAGGTGTCTTTTATACTGATAACAAGTTCAAACAGTTAATACAGCCATTAATACAGGTAACGAGTGGAGGACAGAGGAGCCTCTTAAAGAAGAAGTTACAGGTCTGTGAGAGCCAGAAATCTTGCTTGTTTGTAGGTGACCAAATACTTATTTTACCGAGGAATTTACCAATTAATTCATTAAAAATCCTACAATGTGATTTCCTGGATTCTTTCCCCCCATTCTGTCTCTCATAGTTGAAGTGTACCTATGATGAAAATTACAGGCATCTCTCATCTTTTTAAGTGGGAGAACTTGCACAATTGGTGGCTGACTAAATACTTTTTTCCCCACTGTATATATTAAAACCTTTTTCTTTGTATTGGAACAACAAGGATTTGTTTTCCCAGGTCTGGTCCAGACAAACAGCCCTCTCTGTCTTCTCTCCCTGCAGGGTTTGTCTTTCTTGGACCTTCGGTATCACCTGCTGCTCTTCTACCTTCAAGACCTCACTCACCTGATCAGCATCAAAACAGAAGGAGGCCAAATAAAAGACAGTGACGCCTTGAACAGACTGGTCACAATCAGAACGGTGAGATGATTGTCGAAACGGTCCGCTATTAATACATCTTTTTTTTATTCTTACATATTCAGCGAATGCTTTTCTCTTCCTGTTTTAAGGTCCTGGAGAAGATGCGCCCACTAGACCACAAACTGAAGTACCAGATCGATAAACTGGTGCGCACAGCGGTCACCGGCAGTTTAGGTAAGCCTGCTTTTTGTTTGTTGCGCTGAACACATCCAACAACGGAGAAGAAATTGTCTGATTTCCGTCCCTCCATTTTTCACAGGCTTCATGCTATAACAATGTCTTTTGTTGATTTCAGCCGAAAATGACCCGTTGCAGCTGCGTCCTAATCCTGAGAATCTCATCAGCAAAGTAAGAGCTGAATATGGTGGTCATACAGTTTGGTTTATCTTAAATTAACCTTATTGATTGCTTCAAGACATTTAATTAAGTCAGGCTACCATTGACTGGGGATAAAACAAAAACTATAATATTTTCTAAATGTCTAATTCAAATACAGAACATCCAGTAATGTAACTGTCTGACTGACTTTGTTTCCTTGCTTCATCAACCAGTTGAGCGAATCGGAGGAGTCTGAAGGTGAAGCTGAGAATACGGCCGAGAAGAAAGCAGCCCACTCTAGTGGCAAGAAATATGTACCGCCAAAGATTGCCCCAGTGCATTATGGTAATGTCTTATTAAACCATTTCTTGTGTCATTGCTTAAAGAACAAAAGACCAAAAACAAAATTCTCATCTCATCTCAACCCCCCCCCCCACCCAGATGGTGACATGACGGAAGCGGACAGGAAGAAGGCTCAGTCGGAGCGCCAGCGGCGAGCTGCCCTCAGGAGCTCAGTGATCCAGGAGCTGAGACAGCAGTACAGCGACGCTCCAGAGGAGATCCGGGACAGAGGAGACTTCCAGAGCGAGCGGGAGAGCCGCGAGGAGCTCCATAGGTGTTTAATTTGTTTGATCACGTCGACACAGGAAGGCCGATATGGGACTGGATGAGATGCGGGATGGAAGCATGTAGGGGCTGGGTGTAGTTTTACAGATATCCATTGTCCATCAACAATAACTTCGTTCTTCTTCAAAGGAAAAAATACGAGGAGTCGATGATGGTGCGTCTCAACATGCCACAACGTCAGAAGGGCACCAGAAAGAGAGGCATGATGTCCACGCTGAGCGGCATCACACACTTCGGTGACATCTCGGCGCTGACGGGCGGCGAGGGGGGACAGGTGAGCTGGAAGTGACAACTTTACACCAACCTGTCAGAAGGGGGCGGGGGGGCATATCTCACTCGCTGAGGAGCTACAAGAGAGGCCAAGGTTCATGAGGTCAAAGAGCTTCAGGAAGAGGACGCTGTTTGTGTAGCGCAGCTTGATGCAGGGCTGAGCTGTAAGTGGGGCGGGGCCTGGATAACGGTGGAGGTCTTAACAGACGTGAGTACAGCTTCCCGCTGTCACAGTGTTTTAAATACATTGATAAGGCAGGGTATGCTAAATGTAGCCTCTGCTCCAAGGAGATAAAGTACAGCAACAAGGGCTCACATGCCCTCTCATCACACTGCCAGACAGAAGTACACTGTAAAAGGTGTTCACTGTAATGACCACAGCCAGTGTACTTCCAGTCCCAACAGTCCCACGTTGCTCCCAAGGGCCCTGAAGTAATGAAGTCATGAGAGAGGGTTAAGGTGCCTGTACCTTCATTTCAGCGGGTTGCTAATGCAGAGGTGTGTATAGATCACAGCTATTATTTTACTCTTGATAAACTACCTCAACCAGAATAGATTATGATTTTAATTTAAATAATTGAACTGGATTGAATGCATATTAATTGCAAATAGAAGATAGGCCACAATTCTAACAGCTTTACAGTAACAGTGGAAGTTAATATGAAGCCATACAGTAACAGGGTTCAATGAAAACGAATCACTTTATTTGTATAGGCGATGGTTCTCGCTCCTCTTACTATCTTTGTTGTTATGACTAAAACTTATGAAAATGAGACCTCGGTCTCAATGGATTTTGTCTAAATAAAGGTTAATAATAATAGAGCTGAAATACTGATTAATCACTGAATAATAAATTAGTTTTTTGCTTAAAGTAAATGTCTTATTACTTTATTTTCTTCTCAGAGTACACCAGAATGCTACATTTTAAAGCTCATATTTAAAATACAATTCTCCCGGGGGAGCATGACTGGCCGACCTCATGTGGAAAATTCATTCGGCTAACTGTATTAAGGGAAATCCACGTGTTATGTTTAGAATTAGTGGTGGACGACACGTGAAGCCACCAAACGATGTTAACGGGCTCATCTCCGTGCAGTATGAATGGGAGCATTGCGGCTCGTTTTTTAATTTCGATCAGTCTTAATGGGACTGCTGGCTCTTACGCGTCTGTCTTTAATGGTGCAGGATGGGGAGAACTCTCGGCCCAAGAAAAAGAAGAAACTCATGAAGAAAAAAACCAAAAGAAAAGGTGAGAACATTCAAATATACCAGATGGCATAAATGACTTTACTGCTATTTCTTTGAAAACATAAAACGGATTACAGTGAAGTAACTTGAACTTCTACGTGATGTTCAGAGAACCTTTCCTACATGGGCTTTGTGTTGATTCTGCTTTTATTGTAACACTAGAACCATGTGATTGGTGTCATTTTGTCAGTTTATAAAAAATGTTTTTAAAACGATACAATATTGATGATTTGAAACGCAGCTGAAGTGCTTTTATTTGCATTTCAATTGTTTCCTGTTAATAATCACCCGTGTCCTTCCTCTACAGCCTTCAAGAAGCACAGATAGACCTGAAACGTGACGTTCACTGAAGACCAAACGATGACACGGAGAGTTCTTAACAACCGTCATCACTTTAGTTTATACTTAAGAGTTTGTTACCATTAATTCCCCACTTCAGTGTGATTGTTTTTCATTGTTTGTGGAATAAACATTTACATGTCACGTTATTTATCTCCATTAGAGGGCAGTCACATTGCTTCCTTATCAGACAGGACAAAACGCTCCTTGTGCCATCTAATAACCCTCTCTGGCAGAGAGCCGTGATGATGTAGGGGAAATATGCAGCAGATGACATTTTAGGACACATTTACAAGTATTGCTGAAGAAACCCATTCAATTTGACCTGCACACAATTGCTGGAGAAGCAGCCAGATGCTGATTCAAGGTCTAATCACAGCCTGGTGCAATAGTGACAACACAAAAGTTTGAATTATGCATTCCTGTTAACATTAACTCACACCACAGTAGGGGAAACAAGTGTTTTGTCTAGTAACCCGAGTGTGCAGTTGGATCATCGTGTTACATTACGCACCATCAAGGGATAAACATTAAAGTTTACCTCAGTACGAGGGTGGTCTTGGGCCTTAACATTAAAAGATTTAGGGTTTGGCCTGCGATGTCAGTTATGACCACTTTGCTGATACTTGATTCATTCTTAAACAAACACCAAATACCTAGTATTGCTGGTGAGGGAACCATTGGCCCAATCCCAGTGCCCCCCCCCCCCTAAAGCCTCAAACCCTGAACCCTCAAGAACTTGCTGATGTCACCTTGTAAGTGGTTGAGTGTGAGAGACGGAGAGGGCTTGAAATGGTGTAAATATGAATGGGACAACACTTTGCTGCAACAGATCACTCAACCATGAAAACGACAAAATATGTATAACTGTAGGTATTTTATACTTTGTACTCCGTGATGTGAACGTCTTCCTGGCTCTATCCTCAAAGGATGAGAGGTCATTTCATATAATCTATTTACTTGTTTTTGTCAAAACGGCTTCAATGACAAAATCAAATACTTGAATAAATAAATATCCTCTGATTTCATGTTTTTTTGTTCCATCTTTAACCCTCTATTGTTCTGAATAAATTTGATACGACAGGCTGAACACACGTGAGCCGTCCTCTTTGTTTACGTGTCCACTGGTCAATACATGTGTGGATACTATTAAACCAGCACTTAAGCAGACCAGAGGGGGCAGGCCAGTCAAAACAAACACACAATCTCATTTTTACACAATGTCTTTATTTTATTTTTTTTCCCTAATACAGACTCATGGGTTAAAAATAAAAATAAAAAAGCAGAACATTTGTTCAAACCCACTCCCCCTTTTCAAAAAAGAAAAAAAGGTCTCCACACAAACCCCGCCCCTACTTTCCCCACCCTAAAATAACAGCTCCGGCCCACTCCGTTTATTAAATTAATATTCAGTGCCGTTAGCGCTTCAGCCTTCCTCAGACAAGCCGTGACTGCACTGCGCGTAGTCAGAGAAAGGGGGCGCATCAAGGTCCGCACTGTACACCCCAAAAAACACCCTCATCTCTGGTCCTGCCTTCCTCACTCTCACGCAAACTTGCCTTCCTGCCACTCAGCTATGTTGGCTTCAGCTCTCTGTATAGAAATCATGTGTTGGATTGGCTGCCTGTTAAGTTCCGTGTGTACTGCGGTGTTTGTTGAACAGGTGTGTGTGCATGTGTGTGGGCGCGCGAGTGTGTGTGTGAGTTGCAGTGTGAAAGGGACTAAAAGCATCATCAGCGTTTGCTGTTGTAGTAAATGCCCCCCGCAGCGGGCCTGTGGTCGCCCTGCCCCCCTCCCCCACCCCCCCACACGGACAGGATGGGGTGAGTGTGCATAGCGGGAGCAGAGAGAGAGAGAGACGCTGCGGAGACAGTGGGGGGGGCCTGCGCCACCTGGGGAGGGGTCGTCAGCCTCCACTGGTCTTGAAACCTGAAACGACAAGAAGTGGTCTAATATACAGAGAGAGGACGGGGGAGGGAAAGGAGGAGACAGGAGACAAGGAACACAGAGGGGAGGGGAAAACAGGTAGGTGGGGGGGAGGGATGGAGGGGTTGCACGAAATAAAAACATTGATGTCTGTCGAAAGAATAAAATGAGCTGTGGCCATGCCTGAGTTGGAGGTGACAGGTATGGACTAGCAGCAGGAGGAACCCCACTCCGACAAGAAAAAAGAAAAAAAATCTATGCATGTACAATCCCACTGAACATTGAAGGTCCATCACTGTCCAGAGAACAACAATCCATGGTGTGATGAGCCAAAGAGGGGG